TTCCTTTCGCCCTCCTCTCCCGCCCAGCGCGGTTCACGCGCTTTCCTCCATCTTGTTGAGCCGAGTCGCGTGTCGCGAACGGCGTGCGAATCCCTTCTGTTATATATTATAATAGTTCGTTCGTCGAATCGTGGTCGATGGTCACTTCGTTGTCACAACCACGGATCGGGGATCGCGGGTGGATCTCGAAAAAAACGCGCGATTCAAAAAGGTTGAATAAATTACGACGTAACGACGTAAACGCGCGCCACTACGTGTCGCCTCGACTTCCAAACGATGACTAATGTTAATTCGGCTCTCGGTGATCGAGAGTTGAACGCTCGGTCGAATTGTGTTTTCGCGGAGTTCCGAGAAACGATTCGGCGCGGCTCGCTTCGCCGAACTGTGATAATACCTCGTGTGTAAACAATATAACCTTTGAGATAACGGCGCGCTCGGTCTCGTATTATTTACACGTTTACAACCAAGTCGATGTTTTCGTTCTTATTGCGCGTTTCAATTAATTTGCGCGTTTCGCCGTACTTTTTTTAAGGAAAAAACGGCTTCTTTTTTTAAAAAAAAAAAACAGAAACGGGGGTGTTTTCTGTCGCGAAGAAACACGTTGGACACTTTTCTCGTCGCACTTTTTTTTAATTTTTGTTTAAACAGTTTTCGATCTTTTCCCCCTTCTTTCTCCTCTCTTCTTTCCTTTTTTTAGGTTGATAAATAAAGTTTGTAGTAGTACCATTTGGACAATCAAAGGTCTATTGGTTTTCGTTCGAAGGAAAACGGTCAGGTTTTACAAGTGCTATCAAATACATCACGACGTCAAGAGCACGTCGACTCCATTGTTAGAGAAAATCCAATTTCTCGGAGAAAAATTGGCCCTTTATCCTCGGAAGGATCGAACAAACGATAGCCAGCCACACGGACGTTATTCATTTCCTCGGAGAAAACTGTCTATTCTATAAACATTAATTTCTTCCAGTAAGCGTTAAAAATGGCTTAAAAGTTACGTAATCGTGTACATCTATATTTCAAAAATATTATTTTATCAACTTGTATCTCTATATTGGTACCATATTACACATAATACCATGAAAATTGCAATTACTATTAATTATTAGAATTGTAAAATTACAATTTTCATTTTCTCCTTAAAAATACATTATTTTATTACTCTAAATTTTACGTTATTTATAATTTCCCATTTTTCGAGCAAAGAAAAATTACGAACGAAATAATTCGAAAGCTAATCTCTAATCTCGAACCTAATTTCCAATTCGCTCGGATACGATTATACACAACCCTCCAACATCGGCCACGACCCTCGCAAGAGCGATATATGCGCCGAATAGCCCTCGGATACGCCCCCAATATCCCTCGAGGAACGATTAATCGTCGAAGGCAGCGAATCGAACGCATCGTGTCAAGCTCACGTCCGGCTCCATTCTTACGTGGAATCCAATTCCTCGAAGAAAAATTATCCCTTTATCCGAGAAGGGGTTGAACAAACGGCGCTCGAAACAGGGTTGCTCGCTCTCTATCTTGTTACGGAATCAATGACGCGTGTCCATTCCCTCCCCTCCTCCCGAACCTTTTCCCAACCTGGATAAAACGTGGACTCCGATGGACGGAATGGAGAAGGCATTCCGCCGGATTAGAAACGGAAGAGCCGTCGTCTCGGACACGATTGGAACGAGTCATGGCCCTGATCGAAATAAAATATACGACGCGCGGGATAGAAGGAGATGAATAATGCATGGGGCGAACAGCTTGTGGTAAGTAACGAGGCGGATTTGTAAAACACCAGCCTCGACCTGTCACGATAACCCCGAATGAACCGCGCGAATAATTCAACCGTGCGGGGCTGGAGAACTGGAGAACGAATTCAACGATTTCTTGATTTTATTCGCGATGGCCGAGATAGGGATGAATCGAGAATATCGAAAATGCGTATCGAGAAGAACTTGGCATTTTTTCCTCTCCTTCATGTGATAATGTGAAAAAAAGTTTTCGATGCAAGAGTTGGATCGATAAATTTACGATCTAAAATATATATATATATATATCGTGGAATTTAATTTTTGTTTCGTCGGTAATTTCTTTTCTATTCTTCATTCTGTAAGAAGGGACGAAGAGGTGGAATAAGATATTCGACGTTAGAAGGACAAATGTTTCCTCTCTTCTTTTTCTTCTCCATTCTTGCATTTTTTTTTTCGAGCTCGAAATCTTCCCTCCTTCGAATTTCCATGCTTTTCCAAGAAGGGGATGAAACGGAAGATTATCTTAATGCGATAAAGGAAAAGATAAAAGCGCAAGAAAGAATTTAATAAGATTTTATAATTTAAACGAATTAATAAACGTTATTAATAAACATTTCTTTAATCGCGGAAAAAGTTCCACGATTCTTTGTCGTTCGTGAAATTCCATTATATCGTCGAGAATTGTTCCCTTGACGCCGAGGAAACGACACGGTCGTAACTCGATTCGAGATTAGCGCCGTCGCCTCGCCACGAAATCGAATATTATTTCTGCAGTTCTTTCTTTCTTTTCTTCTTTTTTTTTTTTCACAAGATTTGAGGAAATATTTTTCAGGAGCATAAGACACCTCTTCGCCTCCTCTTCAGATTGATAACAATTTCCAGAATGAAATGCAAAGTGAATGTCGTCGAACTTTCGAACGAGTTCGAGAAGGAACGAGGCGACATTTTTTCCCCCGCTTCGTCTCGACTTTGGAGGGGAAAAGTCTTTTCACGCGAGACAGAGGGAAGAGACGAAAAAGTTGGAGGAGGAAATAACTCGAGTTCTAGGCTCTTCCATCGTTCCTTCTTCCGTTGTTCCGATTCTAACTGTGTGACAATCATGCGAAACTTTTTTTGTATACTTCTTTGGGGAAAAGTCCGCCTTATTGTCGATGGGGATTAAAAAAATTTGGAAGGAGAAGAAAGTTTTGATGATATACTCCTTTCGATATTTTGTACATTATCAAAAATACCAAGCAGCGGTATTCTTATTTTATATAAAATTATATTTTCAATTTCAAATTCCGTCAAATTATCTGTAAAGAATATACATTCAATTTTTTAAAATAATTTGATATCTGGTCTAACCTAAAATTTTTAATTCACACCTTATTTTCTCTCTCCTCTATTTAAAGGAACCAATAATAACAAACTCGAATCCCTCCTCTATCTGAATAATCTCAAATAGCACAGAAAGCACAATTTTTTAAATTTCACTTCCTTAAGTATTTCCAAAATATTAAAGGACATAATCGAATATTCTTTTCCACTCTCAATTTCGAACGAAAAATTAATCGTCCGCTAAGATACATCAGATTTAATCGGGTCGACCGGTATTATCCCCACGACTGTCCTTCATTTTTCTCCTCGTCGACGGTACCAGGGTCGTCGACTGAACCCATTAACGCCGTCCAAACTCTTTTTCGCCCTGTTTTCGTCTCGATCCGTTTCGAACCGTGGAAAGAGGGCGAGGCTGGCTGCCTCGCTCCTCAAAAACTGAAACGAGAATCTTCTCTCCCCCTCCTGCCTCTCTCCCCAGACGGGACAAATTTCATTTTAATATCGTCTAAATGTCATGGCGCCCCCGTGGAAATGCACAGTGCCGAGACAGCGGCACAGTCCGGGAAGAAGCGGCGACGCCGTTTGTCTTCTGTCGAAAACACGTGGCTGAACTTTCGAGGCGAGGAATGGACAGGTGAAAAGGGGAATATATTCTCTATATCCATTTCAATATTTTAACGAAACAATCGAGCGAATCTCGATTCACGATTCATAATGATTTTCTTCGAAGAATTTCTTCGTAAAATTAGTTCTCGTGCTCGCTTTATAAATTTTTATTATCGAAATGCTGCTTTGAATTTTATATAGTCCAAGGTTGTGGAGATTAGTTAGGTAACGAGGCTGGATAAAATGTGGTATTACATAATAGAACAAATAGTTTTGTGAGACGAGTATGCTATTATCTTCTTATCTTCTGTTCAAATATTCACACTGTATCGAAAAATTATTGGTAGGTTGCAGCAGGATTTTTATGCAGCTCGTATTTGAACACGTTCCTTATTCAAAAAGAAGCACTGATTATTAATATTTTAAACAATATGAGGGGAGGAGAAAAAAAAATGTAACGAGCAAATTAATCATTCTTTTTAAAATGCATAATCGTTTCCTTTGAAAAGAAAAATAATTTCACGAAAATTAATATTCAAAAGCGATATTCAGAAAGATGATTTTTTTAATATAATTCTTTCTTTGTAAAAAAATTACAGCTACATTTCAACTTGGAATTGTAATTGCATTAAAACCCGATCTTCCTAATCCGTACTAATCTCCTCCATCGATGTTGGATTTACTATGGTTCCAGAATAAACCGCACACTTGTTATTTCTATATAGAACTAATAGTTAACGTTAATATTGACGAAAAGCCAGAAACAGAGAGATATCGATCGATCTAATTCCAATAAGCGTTCCAATAACAATTGATAAAAGTCATTCGTTTTAAATTGAATTTAAACGCGCAAAAGCACGCGACAAGCACGTTATATTTTATCCACGCGAAGGGAAGGGTTGAAAACAGGGACTTGATTCTGAACATTAAAAGCAGATGTTATTCAAGGTTTCACGTGGAACGCATTAGCCTGGCTCTTGTTTCGCCAACAGTCAACCTGGATCTTGCTCGGCGAAGATCGAGGCGAATGTTAATACCGAGGTTCAAGCTTTGGTGGAGAAATTGGTGTACCAACCACTAACGTAATGTTGCTGAAAGAGGCCGATCCGGACCAGGGGATGAGTTAAGCGGCTTGCGGACGATTAGAGAGCGCCGCGCCAGCCATCGTCGCGCTCCACCTTCATCCCCTATTGCCGATCAAAACCCGACTACGACTCGTGGTTAAATACAAAGTACCGAAAACCCTCTCTTCCGCTTCCTTTGTTCTACCCTCCTCCTTCCCATTTTTCCCTCTTCTCCACCCGAAATTTCCAACTTTTATCATTATTTCCTCCTCCTTTTCTTTCTCTTCTTTTTTCCTTTTTCCTCAAACGAAACCAACTTGTCGCAATTTGATAATTTATTTTTCGAAACGTATATTCTTTACATTTCTCGTGCTTCTCGTTTCTTTTTTTTTAAATATCACAAGACATACTTGGCGGGAAAATTATTAACCATTGGAAAGTCTGGATCGAGCGCGAAAAAGATATTAACGTAAACGAGAACGGGTTATAATATATTTACGACGTTCGAAAATAAAAATTCCGTTCGTATTTTTGCGTTTGGTAAAATTAAAGGGAGCTTCGAGAGGGAAGGGTCGAAAGGCGTTGACACGAAACACGTCTATATATCGGATATGAAACTTCCTCCCGTAGATGGAAAGGCAAGGTTTACAGGCAGGCCGCAGGATATCCACGGAATCGCAGTGAACGTCCCCGGGAAAAGTTTCACGAAGGAACGCCGACAAAGCTCGCGGAAATGTCGGCTAAAGCCCGGTCAAGTGACTCGGGAAACTACCAACGCCCTCCCTTTAAAATCAAATTTCCTGTTCGCCGCGGAAAAGGTTCCATCTGGCCACGTCCTTCCACCCTCTATACTCGCCGCGACGAATTCCACGAAACGAAATCGAAACGATTTTTTAAAAATAACACACCGATATATTCGCGTTGCGAGTAATTCTCGAGATTCTGATATTCGTATACGGAAGCAAAACTTTATTTATAACGAATAATTAGATCTAATTGTAATAGATTGGGATGAAACGTTATTCTTTAAAACTTATAATACGATCAAATATTATAAATTTAGAGACAAGTTTGTTTGAAAATGAAAAAAAAACTTTGATGAACTTTTTCTCTAAAGAAAAAGTTCTGTAGATTTTTGCTACACTGTTCAAACTTATCTTATTTTTACTTATTTTACTTATCGCAAATAATTGTAATTACGTTACAATA